TCTTTAACCCATTTTGGGTTACTTCTTGTGTGTGGTGCAAGATAGTGGCCCAGTTGCATTCTTTTGAATGTGGTTGTCCAGTTTTCCCAACACCATTTATTGAAGAGACTGTCCTCTACCCACTGTATGTTCTCGGCCCTTTTGTTGTAAATTAATTAACCATATTGCATGGGTTTATTTCTGGGCTCTCTGTTCTGTTCCATTGATCTGCATGTCTGTTTGATACTGATATCATACTGTTTTGAATACTGTACCTTGTAATACACTTTCTGAGGAAGCGTGATGCCTCCGGCTTTGTTCTTTCTTGAGATTGCTTTGACTATGTAAGGGCTTCTGTGGTTCCCTACAAATTTTAGGATTTATTTTTTTCTATTTCTGTGAAGTGCCATTGGAATTTTGGTAGAGTTGTAGATTGTTTGGGGTAGTATGGACATTTTAACAATATTCTTCCCATCCATGAGCACTAAATATCTTTACATTTATGTGTCTTCAATTTTTTTTTTTCCTCAATGTCTTGTAGTTTTCAGTGTACAGGTCTTTCAGCTTCTTGGTTAAAATTATTTCTAAGTGGTGTTTTTGATGCAATTGCCTGTGTATACCCCAACACCCAGTCCCCTTCTCTGATCTGACAGTTCCAGTTCATGAGCTTTACAACAACTCAGGAGGCAAGAGGTACTGGAGAGGGGAGCAAAAACATGGTAGGACTCTCTGGGAAAAGCTGACCTTCCAACCAAAGACAAAGCCATGAAGACTGTAGGCCTACACTAAGCCCCAAAATCCCTAGGAACACTGATTTGTCGTTTATTGCCAACTACTCCTCTGAGCTTCACACCTACAGGGGGTCTGCATGGGACACACCCTGGCTGAATGTCAGAAGTGGCATTTAATAACCAACTCAGGCAGTGAGGCCATGCAGCTCTCTCTCAATACTTCTGATCACAGTGAGGGGTGCCTGGGTGGCTCAGTCGTTGGGCGTCTGCCTTCGGCTCGGGTCATGATCTCGGGGTGCTGGGATCGAGCCCCGCATCGGGCTCCCTGCTCAGTGTGGCTTCTGGTCTTCACTGCGTCACCCGGGGCCCCACCAGAGGCCGGGAACTAGGGCTCTCCAGGGCCTCTCGATCAACAGCCACTCAGACACTTAGAGCATACAAAGATCAATCACTGAACCAGCTTTTTGAAAGAAATCTGATTAACTAATGAACATTACTTACTATATCCTATCCAGTGATGTCCTACCATTGGGGTATCCACCGAACAGCTTACTTGAATAGACTTTTCTTGTTCCATTGAACTTTAACTTCCTGCCTTTGATGTTGTTAAAAACCAAGACTATATTTTTAACAGTCTCCAGTAAAAGTCTAGGAGAATATGTAAACTCAGGGGCATGGGACAATGGGACCTAATTTCTTTTACTAATTTCTGCATTGTTTTGATTTTATACAGTGGGCATATTGCCTTGGGGGAAGAGGAGAGTTCAAACAAAGTTTAGGAGAAAGGATATCAAAGAAATACTTGTACAAAAATGTTCGGAGTAGCACTGTTCACAAGAGCCCAGAGGTGGAAACAACCCAGATGTGCGATCTTTGGATGAGGGAGGAAACAAAACGTGGTAGATCCATACAGTGGAACATTATTCATCCATAAAAAGGAAGGAAATCCTGACCCTTGCTACCACATGGATGAATCTTGAAAACACTAGGCTAATAAAAGAGGTCGGACAGCAAAAAGTCACACAGTGTACGAGTCCATGTAAATGAAATGTCCAGAATCGGTGAATCCAGAGACAGAAAGCCGACTGGGGATGGACATGGACCAGATGGCTGGGGGGGAGGGGGGAGGAATGACTGCTTAGTGGGGAGAGCTTTATTTGGGGGTGATAAAAATGTTTTCAAAATAGGTAGGGGTGGTGGTCACACAACAATGTGAATGTTCTTTTGGGTTTTTTTAAAAGATTTTATTTATTTATTTGACAGAGAGAGACACAGCGAG